TAACAAATTCCTTATTAAATCCACAGAAAAGTCATTTACTAGTGGTTAGACTTTGGGCTGTTCAGGACAGCAGTCACTTCTGAGAAGTTACGCACATCTGATGCAAAATTACAAAAATGCATATTTACCACCATGAGCAATGCGGCTGAGAAGCTCAAGTTAATATTTATATCTGGCATTGAACGCTATGTACAAATACTGACTTTGGCTGCATGCGTAGCGTCCCGGTTTGTTTTTAAATCTGTTTATACCGATGGTCCAGGTACAGGGACTTATCCCTGTGCTCTTGGCACCACAGGTTTTGGAGGTCTCACTGCGCTGAAGAGGCTATTAACAGGGTGCTTAGCTCGAGGGTTTGCCTTTGAACATCCCTGGCCAGCTGCTCTTTGGAGGGTACGGACCGTCGGTTTGGACTGTCACCTGTTTTCAGGGCTGAAGCAAGGAAGCAGGAGCAGCTGTGATGCTGCTGGGGTGAGGGATGTTTCGGGCGAGGGGGATGAGGATGGGGATGCCGAGCCGGTGCAGAGAGGTCTCATCCCAACATCTCCGTACCTGACGCGAAGGACGTACTGACGCACAGCCAAAGCTTTGCTGGGCAAAGCCATTCGCGCGTGAGCTCCCAGCATAGGCTGTGGCAGGCAGGTTCGCCTGGGAGGTTTGTGCCCTTCTCTCCCAGTTGCTGTGAACGTGCCTGTGCCAGTGCCACATCTCTTGTCATGCTCTGGAAGCATCTGCAAACAGTCTCTCTTTACAGGTTTTTTGTCATTAAAAATACACGTGGTGGGGGAAGGGGAGAGGTGGAAAGAAGTGGGTTAATGGGATCCTCTCGCAGTTGAGAGTGCTCTCAAGCAAGCAGTTGCACACAGTTGGCACCGATGAGAAAGCAGCATCTTCTGGAGGCAAGGGTGGGAATTTCTTCAGGTGGATTTACCATCAGCTGAACAGCACCGTGGAGTCCAAAACATTTAGCTGGAATGAGTTTGGGTTGAAAACTTGTGCCACAGATTCATGTGTGAGCCCAGAAATTGACTCCTTTCACTTTTCAAATCCAGACTGCTGGAGTTAATAAGTGCTCAATGACTTGCCCAAAGCTGCCTTGCGAGCATGTGAGAGTCTGAACTCTGTTAAAATTCCCCAAATACTCAGTGGGGTGCACTGCCCATGCCACCTCGGTGAATTTTGAGGCCAGCAGGATAACTCACTGTGCAAACACCATGGTGTGAAAGAAATACCCCACCAAGGCAGCTGTCATTTAGTTTAACTGTATTTTCAGCCCTGATTTCTGCCAATGGTTCCTGTCTTGGTGTATCAGTGTCTGGAGCAGTCAACAGGGAAGCGCTAGCTGCAGGATGCAGCATCCGAAAAACTCTGGCTGGATCAATGCGTGAACCCACCAGCACCCACAGCACTCCTCCAGGAACGGTCCTTGAAGGCAGAAAACACCCAACTGCGGCTTGAAGGGTGTTTAACAAACTGGGAATGATCACCTCCCGTTGCATGTACATGATTGAATGAAGTCACGCTATACTTGGGTTGCCAAGCTTTTAACATGTGACTTTGAAAGTGTTATTTACTGAGGAAGGAAGGTTTCCAGGGGAATTGATAATAAAGGATGCAGTAGGTTTTTGGAAAGAAAACAACTTTTGCTATGAAAAGAAAACAACCACCCTGAAACTTTTTTGAGGAGATAAATTGCTTTCTAAAAATGGGCCGCAGCTCCTTGGTGTTTCCACAATAACTCACTCTGTGCCTGTGATGGCTGTCACTCTGCTTAACGCAGCAATGGGGAGCTAAGGGAAGTAGCTGTCACAGAAAATGGGAGTCAGACCGTGCCTAGATCTCCTCCCAAGTAAAAATTTTAGCGCTTTCTGCCTTTCTGTGCTGCTTCTCAGGTTTTCCACTAAGCTTTTCCCCAAACACAGTGTTCTTGTTGTCCCCATAAGCATCGTTCTGCCACGAAGTGATCGCACACCAGGACTCTGCGCTTACCAGACCCCGTGAGCACTGCCGAGTTACTGTTCCCACACAGATTCCCAAAGCAAACGTTACTGCCGTAATCTAAAAGAGCAAAAATGTTTGGAAAACAGCAGATGCAATGGGAAAATGACACTTCCTACATGTGATAATTGCGCAACCTTAACTCTGCCCTTGGAGTATGTCTGCTTCTCGCTGTATTGTTCGGGACTTGCGTGGCATAGAAAAAAGCCATTGGAAATCTTCGTCTGTGCAAATTGCAGCTAAAGCGGTTGGTGGAGGTGCCAGCATGGGTTAAATTACCTGTGTGGGGATGAGGGGACTGGGTAGGGTAAGTGGGTTACGTGCAGCTATTAAATACGGGGAGGTGACTCTGTCAGCATGATTTGACCGTTAAGATGGGCACCGGTGGAAGGGAAAAAACCTCTGCGGCTTGTGAGTGAGTCCAGATCACTAAAGCTTTAAAGCGCAGGACATGGTTATGCTTGCCTCCTGCCATGGCAGGAAGCGTATCCTGCCTTAAGCCACTTAAATTGGTTTGCTTTTTAGGTAACTATTTTCTGTATTTTTTCCTTGTGTTCAGCCATAGGTTAATTTTGCTCAGACTGCCTTCACCCTCGCCCTGCAGCCCCACTCGTCACGCTCTCAGGCACAGCCCCGAACAGCCCCACAGACCATCCCTCCTGTCTGCGCTGTTTCTTGCCTGGGGATGGAAGTTTGCTCTTCCCTCTCGGGAGCTGTTAGCTTGGCTTAGTCGCCACTGAGAAACTGCGAAAGCACGGTGAAAAAATGTCTGCCCTGCAAGGCTTGCGCTCGCGCGGCTAGGAGTGCTTGAACCAACTTTTGTCTTTACTCATCGCTCGTTACCCCTTCCTTAGCTCTTCGTTGCCCCCATCTCCTCCTGCGGAGGAACCCACCCAAGAAGTGGCCCAGCAAAGACGGCGAGGGCTCGTCCTCGGCACATCGCCGTCCAGCCCGCCACGCCAGCCTTTCCGCAGGCCCGAAGGGGCAGGGGGGGAAACTCTGGGCAGGACCAAAGCTTTTTGGGAAACGCCGCTTCTTGCCACCTCGGGAGTTTCGCAGAACCTCAGCTTGTGCTTTCGGCGGAGTCGACAGATCGTTGAGGGATGGATGGGAACGTTTGTGGAAGACGAGGGCAGCGCTGTTGAAACAAACGCCTTCGGCTCTGTACGGGCTGGCGACCTGAGCCAGAGCGGACAAGGAATTCATACAGGCGGCAGCCGAGGTGCTCGCGAAGGCTGAGGGAGCCCCGTGCCCGAGCAAGGGGCACGGCGCAGGAGTCTGCTCCCGCCTGCCCAGCCCTACCGGGGTAACTTCCAGCCCGGCGGGGCGAGGCAGGCTTCGGCCGCCCTTCCCCTCACGGACTAGGCCTGCGCATCCCCCGTCCCCCGCCG